GTGTGTGTGTGTGTGTGTGTGTGTGTGTGTGTGTGTGTGTGTGTGTGCGCGCGCGCACGTGCGCGCGTGCGTGCGTGCGTAATAGCTGCATACAGTATGGACTGTGTTGTTGCTGTTACAAACCATCAACATACTGTGAACAGCTGGTCCATTTCCTCATGGAAGAATAGTGTCCATCAACAGCACACTCGTGAATGTCTGTTTTGTCTGCATGCTGACTGTTCTGGTGGATGGACTTGTACTTGTCTCGTACCTTTCTAGTCACCATTCACACACACATTCATACACTGATGGCAGAGGCAGCTGTACAGGGTGCCAGCGGCCCTTTAGGGTCTAATCTTGAGCTCATTCACACACACTCACACCGATGGAACAGCCTTCGAGAGCAATCTGGGGTTCAGTGTCTTGCCCAAACCGCACCGCTGATCTTCCGATTAGAGGGATACTTCTCTATCAATAAACTACATGGGGTTACAGCCGATTCCCTTGTTTGATCACTGTTCCCTGGTCTCAGAAATCATTCTGGTTGGCCATCATGAAGTCCAGTGTTCTTTTGTGCTCCGAGTATGGGTGAGAAGGGATCTCTAAGAAGACACACGAGGATACACAAGACCAGCCTTCACTCAAATCGTTCATCAGACCGAAACACCCCTTTATTGGAAGTCTGTCATAGTGGATGCTGCAGCTAGTTAAAGCTAGGGTTGGTAATCTTCAAAACAGTTTTTTATATATATATATATTTATTGAAATTCTCATTACTTAGTAATAGCAATCAATAAATCAAATGCTCTGACAAAAAGAAAGAAAGAAATGGTAGTATGTGTATCTGTCACAGGACTGTGTACCTACCTGTCTGTGCGTATTCTGCCCATGTACTTGTAACGCGTCACCAGAGTTTTCCACAAGGTGCTAGCTTGAAAGCTGCGAGTAATGATGATCATTATGGGGGAGTGGCTTCAGCCTGTCCGTGTTGCCAACATGGTGACTGTCTCACTGGATTTAGTGATCTTTGGAGTTAGTGCTCTGCTACTTTAATTGGGAAAGTGTTGGGTTTTTAGGTACACCTCTTTTAAATTCGAGCGTACTCTAGCTGGTGTCTGAAGATTACCAAACCTAGTTTAAAGAATAGTGGGTCAGTAGGCCTGATTGACAAAATATTAATGAACAACTTTCTTTGTTCATTAGAAAAAGAAATGATCTTGATCTCCTGGCCAGCTGTGACTCTGGGATTAGAGCAGTCTACATGTCGAAGAGTCCTTAGACAAGATACTAAACCCCAAAGGACTCATGGTGGCTGTGTGACGATGTGGTTCGCTTGTGATGGAAGCCCCTCCCACCAGTGTGTGAATGCTGGCTTGTGTTGTAAAGCGTATTGAGTGGTCACTGAGACTAGAAAGAGCACTATATAAATATGCAGACCAATTTTTAAACTGACAAAAGTAATAATAAATAAAAATGTACTGAAAATTAACTAATGAAAATCAGACATTGCTTTTGAATTGTGGTTCAACAGAATCATTTAAAAAAAAAAAAAAAAAAAAAAAATGAAAATGGCCTGGACAAAAATTATGCAAAAGTGAAGCATACAAAGAAAAGACCAGTGAAACATGGAGGAGGCTCGGTTGTGTTCTGGGGCTGCTTTGCTGCATCTGGCACACAGTGTCTTGAATCTGTGCAGGGTACGATGAAATCTCAAGACTATCAAGGCATTCTGGAGCCAAATGTGCTGCCCAGTGTCAGAAAGCTTGGTCTCAGTCGCAGGTCACGGGTCCTCCAACAGGATAATGACCCAAAACACAGCTAAAAACACCCAAGAATGGCTCAGAGCAAAACATTGGACTCTTCTGAAGTGGCCTTCTATGAGCCCTGATCTGAATCCTGTTGAACATCTGGGGAAGGAGCTGAAACATGCAGTCTGGAGGAGGCACCCTTCAAACCTGAGACAGCTGGAGCTGTTTGCTCACGAGGAGTGGGCCACAATACCTGTCGACAAGTGCAGAAGTCTCATTGAGAGTTACAGAAGTCACTTGATTGCAGTGATTGCCTCAAAAGGTTGTGCAACAAAATATTAAGTTACGGGTACCATAATTTTTGTCCAGGCCATTTTCATTAGTTTTTTTTTTTTAAATGATTATGTTGAACCACAATTCAAAAGCAATGTCTGATTTTTATTAGTTCATTTTCAGTACATTTTTATTTATTATTACTTTTGTCAGTTTCAAGTTATTTCAGGGACCATTGTGGGTTTTTCTTTCTTTAATGGAAGGGTACCAACTATTTTGTCCACGTGTGCATAAGTGATGAGGAGCTGTTTAAAACACGACTGTTCTACTCTAAAATAACCTTTGTTGTTCCTTTGCATATGTTTAATATCCACCGAGGGTATGATTGTCAGTGGAAGATAAGCACTACATTATCAAATCAAAGGTAACATTTATTGAACACATATCATTCTCCTTACTAATATTACATTGACAGTGCTTTGTGGGGGACATCTTTCTGGCCACATTGCCATGAAATTTGCGGTATAATTCCTGTTAATTATTTAGATGAACTCTTGACATTTTCGCTGGAGTTATTATTCCGAAATGTTCAGTTGTACCCATAAAGTAACTATAATCTAAAAGGCAGAGTGCCATGAAGTTTACAGAGTAGATTCATGCTGACTTTCCTTTAATTTCACCCTGAGGACAAACTACATTTTTAGACCCGACAAAGCTGTAAGAATAGATAAATAAAGTAATATTAATGGATGTACTTGTATTGTTCTTTTCTAGTCTTCCGACCACTCAAACTTTAACACTACATGTCATCATTCACACCCTGATGACAGGGGACCATGCAAGGTACCACCTGCTCATCAGGACTATCTAACATTCACACAGCCACCGGTGCAATTTGGGGTTAAGTGACATTGACATGGACTAGTGGAGCCGGGGATCCTCTGGTTGAAGGATGACCCGCTCCTCCACTGAGCCACAGTCACTAGTGTGTTCTTTGTTCTGTCATCTGTTCTGTTTCAGGTCAAACATTTGACCTGAAATCACCCAAAGCTGTTTAATACAAGAGTCTGTCTGCTTTCACAGACCCAGGAAAGAGAGGAGGATCAGCGCATTCTCAACGTGGTCGGAGATGCTCTGCGTCTCCTTGGCAACAGCTTAGTTGTCCTCGGTGACCTACACTGTAACCTGGCGACCTCTCCTCCACGTCGCCTGTATGTGGCTCGTCCAATGGCCCACTACACCCAGCCGGTCCTGCTCCGGGCTGGTTTGCCTCACATGCCCCTTCCAGTAGGTTCACAGCACTCTGACATTGTGTGTGGAATCATTTCTGTCAGCTGTGGAGAAATGTTGAAGTGTTAAGAGATACAGCGATAACAGAAAAACTTCAATTCAGGTAGAAAGTGAGAATGTCATTTATTTAGGCTCATCTAATGTACTTGTGAGCAGGCTGTGGGTTTTCAGAGACATCTGTTCGGTGCCTCACACACCAGACATCAGCCAAAGTGATGCTGTTATGGTGCGTTCACACCAAACGCACCGCCGGTCTCGCCGGGAACCATTTGTGTTCATTCGTGTGAATTGCGCTAGACGCGCCAGAGAAGGGGCGTGACTTATCGCCCTAAAAAACGTTCAACTGTCCGCCATCAACCATGAAAAAAGTACCCTCTATTTCTGCTTAGTACATGTTGTGGAAGTCCCAGATATCCCGGGAAACTAAACACCGTCATGTCTGGTTCATAATATTGTCCAGAGGAGCTCTGTGGATTTTATCGAGCTGTATTCACTGTGCAAGCCACACGTCGCTGTTTACTACAGCTGTATGAACACAAAATAAACAGATTTGGCTGTGATTTAACTGCAATAAACGGACAAAAATGGATGCCGAAATAACTACGTAATGACGCCGATTTGTAAAAAGTCTGAATTCATGTTCTGTTTGTTCTCTCCGCAAGACGACAAGCAAATAACTTTTTAAATACTTGTTTTCTCAATGGAGCTCGGATCGATCGGTGCTATTCTATGTTAACATAGTAGCAGCTCCAGCAACACTCAACATAACGTCATACAGACGTAAATACGGCAGCGTCCATTCATTGTTTGTACCATATGGTTTACACACACACATTGTTTGGTCCGGTCTCTATTGATATGAGGTATCATAGAGCTCTGGGTGAACACAGACGGATACAGTATTTGTTTCCTGATTCAACAACGGCAGGACGGCAGTGATGACAGGAGAAACATCTCAACGCTGATAGGCTATCGCCCCGCAGCGTCACGCCATTTTTTCGCCGGAGTTGAAAAATTTGAACTCACGCGTTTGTGCCGTTTTGGCGATTGACACAAATCGCGCCGCGCCACCGCAAATTCGTGTCACTCCAGTCTCATCGCGTCTGTGCATAGACTTTGTATGTAATCTACTCGTGTGAATAATTCATGCCGCGTTTGGCACCAGTGGCAGGCTGTGCATTTTATACCTGGGCCTTCAGTGCTGGCCTGCAGCTGAAACACCACCTAATAACCTCATTATGACGCCACAGCTACGGTTTTTTGTTTCTAGGGGTGTAACATCACGTATTCGTATTAAACTGTTCGGTACGAGGCTTATGAACCGAACAAGACGTTTGAATAATACTAGTGCATTTAGAAAATGCAGAAGCTTAAATTGTGGGAAATATAATGTTTTCGGTGGAGCCACTGCGCTCACGTAGGAGACAACGGGCTTTGTGACCTCTGAACCCGGAACAAAAAAATCCAAAAGAAAAGACAGCTAAGGCACCGCACGTGTGATCTGGGAGGCTACGCTAAACTAGCTTAACAAACAATAACTCATGACGGTATGCTTCGTAATTAACGGACAATGCATATAGTCCAAATCAATATAATTAACACAATGACAACAAACTCACAAGAACCAGTCACATATATTCATGACAACAAATCAATTCAGCAGACCTGCAGACACGCATTCTGCTACACACTCGAGGGCCATTCAGATATTAGATATAAAGAAACACGCAGTTGACTTACCAAATGCTGTTCACTTAAAGACAAACTCCATCCTTCTTTCTTTGTTGACAAAGAGTTTAATCCCACGGTTAAATCCCAACTCACAAATCCGTTTCTCCTCCTTCCGCCATTGAGTGTTAAAAAAAACAAAGCTAGGTAAAAAAATAATAATGTACACCAAGCAAAATGCAAGAAATGTCATCATTTCTTCCATATCTTTCAATTTGAACTCTTACTACTCCAACTAAGCTCTGCTGGCTACGTTAAGTTTCAGTTCACAATAGTCACATGCTCGCCCACTGACCAATCACAGCACACGCTGCACCTCACTGCAGAGCTGCACCTGAAAACTGAGCTGCACGTAATGATGACGTACTTCTAGGCCAGCTAGCAGGCTCTGACACGTCAAAGAATACGCCCAACATGTCAAACTAGAGATCTGATTGGTTGAACACTATGACAATCAACAATATCGTCCCCATTCACTTAAAGTGCACATGGATTCACCTCGGGCCACTCTTCTTACCTAGAGACACAGAGGTGAGATCTGATTGGATAAAAGCTCTACTTAAAACAAGCTGCACTGGAAGCAGAGCAACTGAGGAACACAGTAGCTGTGCAATGAGAAAATAAGATGATGGGGGAAATAATTAAATTACAAAATAGCTATAACTTTGTGATTGTGTTTAGGCCAGCAGAGAAGGCCTTGCTGGCCCTGACGGCCCACCACTGGAACGCACCTACCTTTAGTGTTACCTACTGTACTGTAGCTCTGGGTTCATGGCTTCATAGTGCATTTCTTTTTACCTACTTTAAGTTCACTTTAATCACATTTTCTAAACTACTTACTAATAAAGAAGACAAAACACAGAAACATAATTATACACATACAGAGCTGTAATTTCCTAATACTTTCCATATTCAGTCACCAAACAGTCTTAAGAGGAAACGTCCTCTTAAAACCCACTGATCCCGTTTTCACAAAGATTCTGACATTCATCAATGTTTTCTTATTATGGATTTGTTCTTAAATAAGAACAGAATCTACTCAAGAGCACACACAACATTTTAGTGCTCACACATTTGCACAAAGTATTTGGTTATTGCGTTTCCTTCAGTTCTACAGTTGTATAACATAGGATTCAAATTCCAATATTTTATTATAATCTTAAATAACTTGTTTTACACATACCTATTCATACTGGCTTTGTCTAATTTCCAACAACTTCTGAATACAGTTAGGAAGCAAATGGTTTATGCTTCACACTTTATGTAAAAACAAAAGAAGCTAAACTACTTCGAATGGAGGAGTGGATGAGTCTCACAGCCTGAGAGGAGCTGCGCTGTAGTCTGCTGGTACCACAGATGATGCTCCTGTATCTCTTGCCAGACGGCAGTCTACTGTTGCTATTGAGAGCGCTTAATATGTCAATATCCATGACAGTCTTATAAGCTAGACTTATAAGTCTTATGACACTCATGGTAAATGGACTGCACTTGTATTTCTCTTTTCTAGTGTAACAACCACTCAAAGCTTTAACACTACATGTCGTCATTTACATCCGTTCATACACTGATGACACAGCCTTCGGCAGCAATTTGGAGTTAAGTGTCTTGTCCAAGGAAACATTGACATGGACTAGAGGAGCCGGGGATCAAATCGCTGGTTCTGTGATTGAGGGACGATCCGCTCTACCTTCTGAGCTCATTTCAGAAGATCCCACATCTCCATCTTCTCAGCCTGTGCTCGGTGCCATCTTCCTCACTACTACAGCATCTATAATCCCATACTGGAGAGATTTCTCTATTCCCAGTTGTACATAAATATAGAAACACACTGAACTGAATTCATATCAAACAATCACATAAATAATCTGGAAATAACATCAAATATCACTCTGCTCTACAGTACTGCACAGATAGCTGTGCAAACAATTTACTCCCAAATAAGAAGTCATTCAACTGGAGAAAGTGCAAATGTCTTAGTAACATTTCAGTTCAAGCCTCTTTCACAATGTGACATGCTTTTCTCCAGAACTCACTCTCTAATGAGCTGCTGGGATGTGGTGATGTACATCCCATCATCAAGTCCACTCCTCTTTAGAAAGCTTTGTACATCAGTAACGGTTAGATTCAAACTTTACATCACGATGTCTGTCGTTTACATGTCTGTGCTTGACCTTGCAGTAAATCATGTATTTCTCCTCTAGATAAACTTAGGGACAACAATGACCATGACATCTAATGGGAGACAGACAGCTGAAGGACAACGCCAGCCGTCTCACAGCGCTGGCCAATCGGATCAGCAGGCGACAGGCCAGATTCAGTCAAACGGGACCAGTCATCAACAAGGACAGGGAGGACCCCGAGTAATCCGGGTCACCCACCAGACCATGGAGCCGGTAGTCATGATGCAGGTGAACGTTGATGGTATGTGTGTCATGTCATCACAGAACCTGACTATAAATGTACCGACAGAGGAAACAGCCAGTATCCCATGTATTTCAATGGATGACAACACTGATGGAGCATGAGGAGTGCATGAAAGTACAGACAGACAAGTGAAACAAGGAACTGAGCTCAGATCATCTGCATTAGCAGATAACGATTCATATGGAATGAATATGGAAATATATAAATAATAAAGACAGTTATGTTTGTTAAAAAATGATAGGACATAAGTCTATACAGAGCTCTTCTTGTGTGGAACAGGCGAGTCAGCTGCTGGGTCTCAGGTTCCAGGACAGCCAAACACCGCAGGTACTGGACAGCCTGGTGAGTTGTTGCTATGGTAATAGCTGTCTCCTCCTTCCGGTTGCAGCGATTCTTCTTTTGGACACTTTGGGTCAGAAGAAATTTAAGTGGACACATTCAAAGATCTGTTTTTCAGGACAAACTTCTTTGTTTCCAGGACTGCCCCAGGTCCACTTGCCAGGCCTGCCCCCTGAGTTCATGCAGGCCATTGTGCATCAGATCTCCCACCAAGCTGCCGTCATGGCCACTGCAGTCTCAGCCGGCCACCCAGCACAGATGCAGTCTGTCCCTAGCTCAGCTCCCAACGTGGAGGGAGCTGCTTCCCCACAGCCCCCTCACCCTGCTCAGGCGAGGGTGGTCATCACCAGACCATCCTTCTCCCCCCACATCCCTCAGCCTGTGGGACCCCGAGGAACCACCATCAACCTGCAGGTCACAGAACCCGCAGCTGGTCAGCAGCCAGAACAGGTAACACCAACAGAGTGAAAAGAGACTAAAGATTCTCATTATCGATTCAACTGAAAGTTATTGTCTTGACGAATAGATCAATTGTTTGGTTGATAGAACATAAGAAAACAGTTTTAAAAGTCCATCGAAATTTCCCAAAAGTTCAAAAATATTAAATTGACCATCATGGAAAGCTGTTAAGTGAACCAAAGTATAAATGAGAGTTCTGTAGGCCTATACGTCTGAGCAGAACCCAGTGATAGCAGAAAAAACAAACACATGGACAAGGAAAACATTTGGAAAGTTTAAACAAAATTCTTATTTATTTTACTTTAAAAATGAATTCAAAGATTCAACTTGTATCTACCTGCCAATTCATTTATCGATCTCTAGCTATGTGCTGCAGAGTATTGAATAATCCAGATGAATTACTGTTGTGCAATGAGCGTGAAGCTGCTTGCTAATCTCTGCCTCCCTCACCCCTCTGTGAGCAGGGCCCTCCTCTGGCTCCCTCCTCCCTCACCCAGATGATCAGTGGTCTGGTGGGACAGCTCCTGATGCCGGGGCAGACAGGTCAGTGTCAAGTCTTTCATATAGATATCTTTACAAAGTGCAATAGTAGCTGATTATGCCACTTTTTATTACTTTCTTGATATTACTACTATTTATCGGTATGTGTGGATGTTGTGGTGCTTTCTCACCTGTAGTTCGGTTCTTTTGGTCCAGACCAAGAGAAAAAAATACATTGTTGCGTTTTAGTTCCTGTTCACACTAACATTTTACAAATGAACCAAGAGGAGTAACATAAAGTTATACAGACTGACAGCTAATTCCTTGATTGGACAGTTCTGCCATCATTACACACTGGCATGTGATGTGCACGGCCCAGGAGTGCTCTACAGCAGGGGATTAGTGACCACCTGGTCACCTGTGTCTTGTTATGTGGTAGTGTAGTTAGTGGACCCAAACGCACGCACACAGCAGGTTTACTCCAGCCAAGACTTTAACTGTGCAGGAGGAGTCACAGAAAGAACAAACAAAAAAAGACTAACTGTCCAGCAAATTAAAGTCACTCCTATAATCTCCACCGGAGTCGGAAGGGAAGATCAACCGAGGCCGGGACAGGTAGCCTCCGGAGACGGGAGGGAAACTCGACCGCACTCAAAACTGAAGGAACAGAAAACAAACGGGTAACGATCTTCACTGAAATGGGTGTTCAGACTTACGTGACCAGACTGGTAACCGGACGGACTGACGACGCGCCGGTGAAACGCCGAGGTATTTAAATCAGCCAGTGGCGATCACTGGAATGAGCCACAGCTGAGCCTAAGGAGAGAGGCGTGAAGTGGGCGGAACATGGGGGTGGAAACTGTAGGCTGACACAAGAACAAAACATAAGCACATGGCCCACAATAACAAAACAGACAGGGGGAAAAACAGAGGAGCACAAACTAGGAGCAGACAGGGATCCTAACAGTCTACTGTTTAATGGAGAACAGCTGTTAATCTGTGAAAATACCTGTGGTTGGTCCTTTAGCTTTCACAAAGCTCACCAGAATCGGACCGAGGCCTACCTTTTCAAGAAATCTTGTTTCGGTTGTTCGGTCCGCACCAGGTTTTGAACTTTCACACCAGGCAAAACAAACGTTACTAACAAGGCAAAAGCACCTGATGTGTTTTTAACCAGAGCAAAGAGGATAGGTGTTAAAGCACTCTGAATGTACCGTTTCAGGAGCTCACAGTCAGAGTAGCTAACAATATAACAACTTGACTTAAGTAGTCCTTCACTGTCACATTGAGTCATTATTGTCGTCCTTTAACCACAAGGTTGGTGGTTAGATACTGAGACTCTGAAACCCAAGCTGCTCCCAACAGCAGCCTGCGACTCCTAAAATGCTGGATGGGTGAAATGCAGAGGTGGAATTTCATTAATGTCTCGTATATGACGATTGATATCAAGTTAAAGACTGTTACGTTAAACTGTAGTTGTAAGTATGTAAGTGCACATTGATTTTGGAATGTCACTTCTGCAGTACCACAACTTGATAACTTTCACAGCAATGCTTGCTGGAATCAGTAGTAGTTATTTTCAGAGCTAGATAAATTGACGAGGACGATATATCAATCGATAATAACTTATTGCATATTTATTGCTGTTGTGTAGATGTCGACCAATACGTAACAAGAGACGGCACCACAGAAATGTCCCACCAAGTTTGAGGTCATTTAGAAGTCCACCAGAGAGCATTGACAAGTTGATCCCACTCATGTATCTTGGCCCCATTTTATAAAGACAAAAACAAATCCAAGGGATCTGCATCACCATTGTTTATGTTGTTTAAACCTCCTCCAGGTGATCCCATGTCCACGTCCTCTTTGTCCAGCTCTCAGTCCTCCTTTTCTACCTCCTCCTCGTCTGATTCATCCACCACATCCCCCCCCCCTCCCTATGCCAACACCTCCGGACAGACATCCACCCACACCACCAATACTACCTCCATAGGCCTGCCAGCAGAGGGCAGTCCTGAGGGAAATCTGGCCCAGCTGCTGGGCTCTCTGCTGGGCGGACCAGGAGGTCCTGGCTCTGGAGCAGCTCCCTCCATCACTGTGACAATGCCGGGGTTGCCGGCCTTCTTCCAGGGCATGTCAGACTTCATACAGGTGAGTTCACTTAGTGCTCCAGAAAACCAATATATGGTGGCATGCGTACTTTCTCCTGGTTCCTCTGTCACATTATACACTCATAATGCATAACACTTAACAAGTGTAGTAAGCAGACAAAATGTAGATGTTACACTTACACAGATTACCAAACTTTATCTGATGGGATATCAAAGCAATATTTACTATGTATTACATAGTTTTCTAAATGGTGTTACCCACTTTGACACTTTAAAATCACCCGAAACGTTGTTGGGAAGTTTCAGGAGTCCAGGTACCTCGTGGATCAGATGCTAATGGTAAATTAACTTAAATTAGGGCTGGGCGATATGGCCTAAAATGTATAACACAGTAACATTTTGAAGCACAGATGGTATATTTGTTTTTTTCCTTGAATGTCAATAGAAATGCTTTTGAAGCACTGGTATGGTAACTGCATGGCATACATCCAAGCAACCCAAAGTCAATGTAACCTCTCACACATTCTAAATGTTGTCTTTTCTCTTTGTTGTTGTCATCTATAGTGGTTATTTGCAGAAAACATGCAATTCAAATGTTAGTATTTTTATTTTAAACTTCTTGGCATTAGTAGTTTCAATGATGAGCTCGTGTTATAATTAACAGATCATAATTCTCTCTGTGAAAACATCTCCTTCAACAACTGGATTTATTCAAGTTTCTCACCAAATTTAGATCTTATAAGATTACATTTCAACCCATCATGATAGCGTAACAATGTACCTTCCCAATACTCATGTTTGCTAAGTAGAGCTTGGAAATCGACACACCGTGCAAGTCAACACAACCTAACCTCCGTTAGCTGTTTAGCGCCAGTCACTGAGATGACTCTGAGCAGCATGATGGCAATGAAAAACATGGAATGTCTGATTAAGTTAGTTGTTCTCCACCGCTTATTCTGGACCTGCAGTTCACTCACAGACACACAAGCCATTCACCCATTCACACACACATTGTGACACTGATGACAGAGGCTGCCATACAAGGTGCCACCTGCCCATCAGGATCTAAAGTAATGCTCAGGAATAGCCTTCAGGAGAAACTCTGAGTTCAGTATTTTGCTGACATGCGGACTGGAGGAGCCGGGGATTGGGACGCTAATCTTCTGATCAGTGAACGACCCGCTCTACCTCTGAGCCACAGCCACCCCCATATATGATGCATCCCGTTCCATTCCAGCCAGGACCTCTGTTGTCAGACACCTCTCTCTCTCCTTGCTGACTTTATCCACATTTCCAGATCTAATTTGCTGTACTGGTAATGGATTGCCCGTAGGTGTCATTAAGTTTAAGTCAATAAGAATGACATATAGGATATTTGTTGCCACTGAAATGAATGAACTACCTCAACAGGACAGACTGGAATTGAGGATCAGAAAGCTGATCAGTTGAGTATCTTTCAATTCACAGTAGCTAATGAAAGGGGATCAAACGGACAAAATGACGATGATGAACTACACAATATTGATGTCCCAGTGAAAAGCATCTGGTTACTATCAACATCAAATATCCGTATGTGCAGAAAAAGACTTGATGTGAACATGAACCTGCTAAATTAGTTTTCTCTGCCCAGCCAACTGCGAGTGGAGCTAGTGCCCCAGTCCCCCCTCAGTCCAGTGGTCCCGCCCCCGCTCAGGCCGGCAGCGGTTCGGGTGGAGACTCTCTGAGCCCGGAGCTGTTCACCGGCATCGTGCAGGGAGTGCTGTCCACCATGATGAGCTCTCTGGGGGCCCATCAGGGCCATGGAGAGAGCATCGCCCAGTTCATCCAAAGACTGTCCCAGACCAGCAACCTTTTCACTCCTGGCTCTGGAGATGCTGTGGGTGAGTCATACATCAGCAGAAAGTCAACACTGACCACTGACCTCTGGTTTATGTTTCAGCCGGTGTGCTGGGATCAGGCCAAAACATTGAACACATCCCATCCGAAGAGTAATTCCAGCATTTCTCATGATTGTTATTGGTAAACCAGCTCTCATCCCGGCAGGGTTCTTTGGTGATCTGCTGTCCCTGGTGTGTCAGAGCTTCTCCATGGTGGACATGGTGCTGCTGCTTCATGGGAACGCCCAGCCTGTGAGTCGCATCCAGCCGCAGCTCACTGACTTCTTCACTGAACACTACCTTCAGGGCAGAGAGCCCACTGACGCTAACATAGCTGTAAGTACTGTACAGAGAATCCCTCACACTTTGTTCACACACTACTTGATATGTTACTTCATTGTTCATGATATTATGTAACATTGGTCGGGCACAAGAAAGAATGTGTATTTGATTAGCTTTTGGCCAACAGTTTAGTCTCTGTGATGCAGCATGTGACACCTGCTTGTTAACTGTCCACACATGTGTGGACAGTAGGGATGTCCCGATCTGATCTCAAAGAACAGGTAGGACAGGTAGAACCATTTTGAAAAAGAAATATTCAATGACTCCATCAGGATTGGGATTTGGGGTAAAAAAAAACTAGATCGGGACATTCCAAGTTGACGGTGTTGAGTGCTGTTTGGATCTGTTGATTTGTTGATTTGATGTTGCACAGTAAAGACTTTCACACATTGTCCTCTCTGCAGACAGCAGCCGAGGAGCTCATTAACGGACTGGAGGAGTACGTAGCTGAGAGCTTTGTAAGGACGACCTCTTACACACACAGACCTCTACAGTCCATCTAATGCACTGTGCTGTGTGGCAGGTACGTAGTGATGAACATCAGTGTGTGTGTGTGTTTGTCTGTGTCTGTGTGTGTGTGTGTGTGTGTGCGTTGTGTCTAGGCCACGGTGACGGTGCGAGACGGAGTGGACATCGTTCAGAGCAACCTGTCTTTCCTCAGACAGCAGTTCACGCAGATGGCCTCACATATCCTGCACCACAATGGTAAGTCAGTCAGTGGCTGATCAACAGGTTAGCCATCATCCTTTGCCTCTCTGACTCAGGTTAACGTGTTTAATATTCCACTTTCTCTAAGACTGAGCCGTTGTCAGTTACCTAGAATACGGCTGGAAGACATAGAGCCCAAAGGCGACAGATCCTCAGGGTAGGAAATCAGTCCTAAAGAGTGAGCTGTTCAGAGCCCTTCATCACCGCTCTGAACTCATGACTGATCTGTGCTGATATCTAGGAGAGGAGTCCCACCTCTCTGAGGAGCTGCAGGAGGGGATGTTCATTGTTGACTGTGAGCTGATTAAAGGATACCATTCACAGTCCTTGTGAAGCAAAGGAGAAGATATGTGACAGGGAAAATACCGCTTGATTATTCTGTCATAACCTGCTGTTTTTGATGTAATAAACTTATATTAATTTCACATAATGCACAGATGAATTAATTTCCCCAACACCCAGCTCACAAAGTTTAAAACTGTATTTAAAATGATTGTTTAATCCATGTAAGTGGGATACCTTTGGCTACGGCTAATGGTTTAATCAATACACACGTACATGAGAATATTAAAGGAGGTCATTTGATTGAGCTGCATGAACAGACTTTTGAGTTATGTGCATTATCTGAGGAGCAAAGTTTGATTACTGCAGAAATTGCTTCTGTCAGAGCAGCTTCTACAGACACAGCATGTTCTCTGTAAAATGATTATGTTGTTCTCAAACGTATCTTGTAATAAGATCGTTGACATTAAGGGCTCCATATTGTCGCTCCTCTAGATATGTTTGTGCCTGAACACCGCCTCCTACAGCTCCTAACATGTTAGGATGTCTTTGATGTGAAGATGAGGAGATGTGAAGGGTTTTCTGTCTTCATGCAGATCACACGTTTGGCCCCCATCTGCTGCTGCTGTGCACTCAGGGCCTGTTTGAGTGTCTGGCTCTGAACCTGTACTGCCTCGGAGGAGAGCAGAGATCTCTGACTGCCGTCATCAACCACCGCATTGTTAGTACTCATCATGTATGACCGCAGCATTCTGGGATACAAGTCACAGCTGGATGTTACTGCATGTTTCTGTGTGTGTGTTTGTGTAGAGGAGGATGTCTGCAGAAGTCAATCCCAGTCTGGTCAACTGGCTGACCAGTATGATGTCTATGAGGCTGCATGTCATTCTGGAACACAACCCGATTACTGAGGACCAGATCCAGCACTACATCATCTATGCACAGGTAATCAATAGTCATTAGTGAGCCAACCCACCGCACTGCAGAAGAAGGATATGCTTTGGAGGATGAGGAACAGGATGTATCAGGCTTTGAATACACAAGCGATACTTATTAGTAGGACGGATAGAACAGTGTTGGTGGGGCTCTGCACATGAGATTTGTTGAAAAGAAGAAACCTTTAGAATCTCACCAGACTTACCCTTTAAGAAGGTTTAAGCTTCTGCTGGAAGAATTGTCTGCATTAACTAATTACATTTCAGTCAAAAGATAAAAACGACTGCTGTTAAGGAGTGTTTCACACATACAGACTCTGAAGCTGAGACAATGACAGGCTGTCCATTACGTTCATAGTGGATCCATCAATACATTATTCAGGCGATGTTTTTTAAGTTGAGTCTAACAGACTAATTGTTTCAACATTACTTTCACTCTTGCATGCATCTTTTTATGTTGCTGTATCTGTGCTGATGATTTTAGTCATTCAGATTGTGGAAGTGCTAACGTTTGGGGTAGGATCAGAACATTTAGATTTAGTACTTTCAACATGAGAACCATCTATTCATCACTTTCCGCAGGAGAGACGCTTGATTTATGGTGTATATGAGTGACTGATGATTTTAGTTTTTAGGGTCTGTAATTATATACGTATATTGGAAATAATGAACCACTTTATTTTACTGTGAACAACCAGTGTAGTAGGAAAATGTCCAGATGTTCTTAGATGCAGAAAAACATCCTTGAATCAAAAGAATAATGAGAGATGAAAAATCATTAATACAAATGAACACACACAAAAAGTGATTCCGGATTATTGCCTTGGCCAAGACCATGCAGCCCAACATTGTACCCTTTGAAAGTGTGACGAATTTTTCTCTGTTACATTCACCAACTCTGACCACATCCGGTACAGTCTGAGTCAACAGTTTGTGTATCTGCTGCAGTACTAATATAAACATGTAATAGGAATGAATGGGTCATGTGATCAACCCCTCTGTCAGATGGAAGAGAGTTTGTCTCCGGCTCCAGCCACCACAGCAGAGGAGGCCATGGCTTCGTCAGGCGACAGTGGAGAGAGGGGAGCATCTCCCGGAGAAAGCACGGCCTTATCAGGGTACACTCCTGCTGGGGCCCCGACAGGACTGGAGGGGGCGGCCCCTGAGGTGGAGCCATGGGCAGCAGCTGTTCCACCTGTAAGGAATGAGGGTTTTCCCAGGATTATATCGATATCAAGGTTTAATGCCTATTGCCAACCATGGCTATCAAGCAGCACAAATCTAGGTTTTCAAACTGCCATTCACAAAAAATACCTGTTTATCTGATCCAACCTGGAAAAATAGGACTTTAACCTGACCCTGTAAACAACCTTTAAACAAACAGATCCAAAGCCTCCTGTTAAGAAGCCTTATCCATACCCATGATGCATTAGTCTGAGCAGTTGATATAGAATATATATGGTGAACACTGATATCTATAGACGTATCATTAGGTTGAACCTGGGTTTTGGATGTTTTTAATATTAGTTTGAGAGCATCCTTGTGTGACACATTCAATAAGTTGAATGTGTTTGGAAGTTATGGTAATCTTTTGCTTTTAAGGGTTTTAGGATTTATTTATTCTTAAGCTTTCAGGGAGATTTTTAATATCTATTTACCATAGGCAGGTTAGATCCACACTGAAGGTGGCAGGGTGCTGTAGGGGACACAGCCAGGGACATAGAAATAACCAAATAAAAGATCAATGAAAAACAACACAATGACACAAGTAGACAGTTATTTACAGTGGTACAATTCCAGTCATAGTCTTGTTGGACCTCATGCCTTTTAGTGCTGTTAGCAACGTTAGCTACGAGGCGCCAGCTCAGTCATCACCATGTTGAGAGGCATCCGAATCCTTGCCAGACGAGTTCACACAATGCTAATTAGGCATACCAGCACAAGGTATTTCACAGTGTATTTCACACCAGCTGCAGGTGTCCCACACTGCTGCTAGACACAGTCTATGCTGCTAGATGCAGTCTATAGTGCTATATACAGTCTATGCGGCTAGATACAGTCTATGGGGCTAGATACAGTCTATAGTGCTAGATACAGTCTATAGGGCTAGATGCAGTCTATGGGGCTAAATACAGTCTATGGGGCTAGATACAGTCTATGGGGCTAGATACAGTCTATGGGGCTAGATACAGTCTATAGGGCTAGATACAGTCTATGGGGCTAGATACAGTCTATAGGGCTAGATACAGTCTATAGTGCTAGATCAGGGGTCTTCAATTAAAATTCCAAAAGGTCCAGATTGAGAAAATGTCCTCGGGTCCGGAACATTACAATAATATCTAACTTGCGCTATTTAGTGCCATATACTGTATATATTCAAGAAGCCTAGTAGTAGTAATGTCTCTGTGTAGTCAACAACTGTCAAATCAAATAAAGAAAGTACACATCAATTATATTTTTTAAATTATTATTCTCACTTTTCAAATTTAACTGGATGGATTATAAATAATAATACATAGAAATACATAAACAAATGTTCTTCTCATTTCAAGTAAAATAAGAGCTGGAATAAAGAATAACTGATATAACAGAAAGCTTATAGAAAGATAAATCAGTGAGCATGATATTTATCTGTGGTTATTAACACTTGTTTCAGCTCTATTCTCTCTGTTTACATCATTGTTGGTCAGTGAATTCATGTGTTAGGATTCTGATCATATTGGGCGCTTAGGTTTATTATCTGTGTCTTCATTCAGATGTGAGTGCGTACGTTTGCTCAAAAGAGTTGTTCTTTGTCTCGTAGTGTCGCTTCATTTACCGCTTTTAATAATCGTCACGGTCTCTAAACATATGAGACACACTGGTTATGAACTGTCCGTGTGAAGAATTAACCTATAAGAGTCTGTTCATTCTTGGTTAAAGACTCTTGTCTCTTTGACCACTTTTCTCTCTTTGGAGAATGTTTATGTGAAATAACTTCTCTGACTCACGTAATATTCTGCTGCTCTTCCTTCTCTTTCCTCGTCTCTCCCCCGGTGTGTGTACATCTCACTCGATTCAGGAAACTTGTCAGAATACTCATATTTGATTGGCTGAGCTGCATCACGTGATGTGATTTACAACGCATTGGTCGGTGCATTTCCTGCACTGCTGAACAAGTGCCGTAAAGGCTGAAAAAGCTGCGCCGGTTAAAATAGAAGCGCTCTGTCAAAATAAAATCGATTTTAGGTCCTGGGTCCGGATATAACGGTGTCTGGGTCCGGATCCGGACTGCGGTCCGCCAATTGGTGACCCCTGTTCTAGATACAGTATATGCTGCTAGATACAGTCTATAGTACTAGATACAGTCTATGGTTCTAGATACAGTCTATGGTGCTAGATACA